GATGCCAGGAAAGATCCACCTGCTCTGTTTGTTGGCAGAACCAGCATCCCTGCATCTTTTGAGGAGTCTGTAATGCTTGACCACAGAGAGAGGAAACAAAACAGCTTGGCACTTGCCTGCAAGGTATAGGTTCTGCTGATTTGTTTATGAGGTGCTAGTAGGTGTTTTTGCACTAATGACACAAAGAGGTAGGGAGAGTGTTTTCTTGTGTAGTTGCTGAGTGCATTTGTGTCCTTGTAGTTTCCAGACCTTTTCATCTCTGGTGGTGTTTGCTGGCTGGGATGTATGTGGGGAAACTTTCATGCTAAGTCCCTGCCTAATTCCAAACCCTCCTCCCCTATCTGTTTGTGCCCAAGCCTAGATAGAAGCCAGTCATTTAAGACAGTAGGTAGGTCACTCAAATGTTTTATATGACTAGGTGTGAACAGGCTAGTGACTTACAAACAAAGATTACTTCTCAATATCCCAGCTATTGTTCTTCAGAACAGTGTCAGTAATTGCAAAGAAAACAATAACAAGCAAGCAGGAAATGCTGCACACAGTGTCAGCTTCTGTATTTTTGCAGTTTTTGTGCAGCAGCATGGTGAATGACCCAAGGCTGAAACTGTAACTGAAGCATTAATTTGGTATGGTTTACTTTTCATAAACTGTGTATGTGCATTATGCATGCCAGTGTGAACTTAAAGTCCTGTCATGACTTCAAAAGACTTGTTTCAGGCAACAGTGTGTTTTTCCTCCACTTCGCACTAGAAAGACATCTGTGTAAGTGCCTGAAGATCCATTACTGACATTCTTTCTCATTTTTATTACCGAGCTCAGGATAAAAAAGATGCCAGTATGATTTGTAAAACATTTAAACTGATAACAGTGGCTCCAGGCCCATAGGACGAACCTCCAGAGAAGTCCAGCTAACGCTATCGTTATTGCAGGTCTTCTTATAACATCTTCAAATAACAGCTGATCGAACTTCCTTTACCCTGCATATACTTTGGTATTGCTTTTCTACAAATAAAGTAACAGTTAGAGAATATCACAGATCCCCAACTCTTTTCTAATTAAGGTTAAATGTATTTTCTGCTGTAAGTACACATAATTCCCTTTAAAGGAGCAGGTATTATATTTCCTTCTGTATGTTGTTTAGAAGACAAAATTATAAGCTTGCTTTCTCTTAGGGAAAAAAAAAAGAAAAAAAAAAAAGGTAATAGCATCTCATTATGGTAACTTGGTCAGAGAGATGTAAGTTAGTTTCAGCTATAGCAGAATCTGATGTCAGACTGGTAATTACTAGGCAGAGTCAATAATACCTCTCCTCAGTATAATTGCAAATCCAGTACAGCCATGACCAGAACTAAATTGCTTGAGAGCAATCAATAGAAATCTCCTGATTGCATTCTCTGGTGTACACATCAGATGTAAAAAGGAAAACTCTCTATCCAAGCAAAAGATCAACTTTACAAATGAAAACTGCAGTATAAGGCTAGGAAGAAATATGTTCACGCAGAAGCCTTGTGGTTAACTCTGGCTAGAAGTGACAGGTCTGAATGGGAACATGTATATTTTGAAAGACAGAGGCTATGCTTACGTGAGCAGTGATTTGATGCAACTGAAGTGGAGTTCATGTAGATGATGATGAGTTCCTAATATTTGTTCTCTATGTGGTTTGTGGCTTTCACTCAGACTAAATTTAGTTGGTTTCATCACACCAAATATTCTCATCACATGTGGTTCAAAGCTGTTGAAATGCCAACCTTTAACTCAGATGTCTATGTCACAATTATGGGCTGGACATCATTAGGCTTGCACCTGGAGTGGAAACTTCTGTCTCAATTTCTTCTGTGAGGAATGTAGTTCAAATACACCAAAACCACTGTTAGGATCAAAGCAAAATATGGTAAATGGGGATGCTCAAGGGATAAATTTCAAAACCTCACTGTTGCTTGAACAAAAATGGTATTGCAGATTCAGCCAAAAATTTGCTTTTAAAAAATTATTTACTTATTTATTCATTTATTTATTTATTTTTCCCTAGGTTCTTAGGGCCTTGGCTTTCTGCTTTTTCCTTCCTTAGTATTTTTGCTTATACATAAAACCCTGAATAAACATGATGGCTGTCATGCCATGCAATTCTTACCACTTGAGTATTTCCTGTGAACATTGCACATAAAAATATGAAATGATTTTGAAGAATACACCCTTAACTTTACTTATTGTTCTGTTAGAGACTTAGAGACAATAGATTAGTTTGTAATGTTTGTTTGCTTGTTCGATCTGTTTTAAAATCTTCCTCTATATTTCAGAAGTTGAATATGAACTTTGGAAAGTGCTGAAACTAAGTCCTATGAAATTTCAACATGATTTTCTAGTTAACAGAGTTGTGAAAGCTGTTACTTTTGAGATCCCTCAGAAGAAGGATCTCAAAAGCACTGTGGAAAATAGGCACCTAATAGCCCTTGAATTCTCTTTGAATAGCTGGCCAAGCTGCTGAAAAGAGGGGGGTGTTAAATACTTATTTTTTTAAATATCTTTGTTGTTTTCTGTTTTATTTTGGATTAGGTGAAGTGGCAACTGTTATGCATTCTGTCTGCTATTACATTTCCTTTTGGAGGTTTCTGTTGCAATGGATTAGTTTTCTAAATTGTCTGGAGTTTTCTGATAAATCTGCTTTAACATAAAATTGTTAGTTTTCTCACTGTCTCAAATTATGCTGCCCACACAACTCAAAACACTAAATAAATAGACCTGCACAAAGCTGGGGTGTGTGAGATATCAAGAGTATTTTTGCTTAGGTTGTGCTGACAGAAAATGTTTTCTTTCCAGTGTAACTCTATCTTTCATTTGACATATCTTTTGTTACAAGCTTATGAGAAAAATATTTTCAACAGGTGCCAGTTCTATTAGGAAAAAAAAATGTTGCCTTCATAATTTTATAATGGAACAAAATATTTGCCCCATGAGAAACTGTCTTACAGATGTCTATACAAAATTTTAGTCATTGTTCAACAAAGAAAAAGTGTGATAGTCATTTCAATTACATTATGGTATGGATTAAAGTACCGTAGTCAGAATGCTATTAAAAGGCTGTTAAATCGCTGATAATTTCATTGTATGTTAGAATCAAGTGTAGAAGTACAATTCAGTTTCATTAGTACTGTGATGCTATGAACATTTTCAGTTATCAAGCTTAACCTTGCTAAGAAGCTAAAATGAACACTATCAATACAGTGAGGCATGAAATAATACAATAACAGCCTGCTAGTCCCTCTCTTTCTCTCTGAGTTTTTCCTACTTTCTCCAGTAAAGGAAATGTGTGGACTCTTGCCCACACCATTTCTAAATTGCCAAGCAATTGTTTCCTGTAGATTAATTTGTAATACTAAGTCTTGAGGTGAAGGAAATGTGAGCATGTTCCTCCCCCAGGCCATTTACAGATCTGGAGTTTTAATGTAATCTAAAGCAGAGGTTAAGGAACTGACACAAAACAAAAGGGAAGGACAAAGTAATAAAAGTGAAATTGGAGAGTTTCTTCAGCAAAGGTTTCTCTTCGTGTGCTAGAAAACTTGCTTTACCCAACACTTGCAGCTTCTATGCTGTTTTCTCTTGCAAACAGACCTATATAAAAGCACCAAGGGGGAGAAGTGTGTACACCACTTACATATGCACACAGAGCTGTATTTCAAAGCAGCTTACATATGACTGCCTCTTTGTGCATAGTTGCTCTGGTGATGATATATAGTTTCCTTACATGGATAAATTAAAACAAACAAACCTCATCCATCAGCACTAATGCTGTTCCTCCTCTTGTTTTCACAGGGCAGTTGGAGTGGTGCTTTTAAGATTATTTAGGCATGAAAAGCTGCAGATAGGCAGACTTCAGAAAGAGTTGGAAAATACCTAGTTATCTGAACCTAGATGGCTTGATGCTATTAAAAGTACCTTATTTATAGCTCTGTTGCCTAAATACCTTTTCAAATCTAGCATGATACAGGTACACATCTCCACATCTTCATTTTCTTTTGGGGCTTTTCAGAAGTAAATCACATCTACTGAATTCTGCATAGTTTTTTTTCATTATTCCTCAATAATGAAGTCTTCTGCTTACCTTAGGCTGGATGGACCAAAATAAAAGGAGAAAAATGGAGAAAAAGAAACTAAAGAGACATAGAAAAAAAAAAAAAAAAGAAAAAAAAAAAAAAAAAGTGGTACAAAAATGTTTCTGGCCTAGCTTTTTGCAAGCTTCCCTGAAGACTTTCCAGGGAGGATTTCCAAAAGGCATCAATGTTCTCCACATCACAGGGTGAAGGGAGAGAAATCTCCAGTGATGACGAAAGGGTAGTCTGAGCTGGAGGCATGTGATTATAATAAGCATTTAAAATAGCAAGCAAGAAATAAACGCTACAGTAAGAACAGTAACAGCTACAGTAAGAGTAAATGTTACAGTAAGAGAAGAGAAGACTTTCTGTCTTTACCAATTTTCTCAGCCACCTATTACCAGAATATTCCATGGGCTTTTACGTTACAGGTCTTTCAGTCTTTGCTTACATATGGGAAGTTACAGGCCCTGACTGCAAGTTCTACTGCTGCTGATTTGCCCCTTTGATCCTGACAAAAAACAGACTCTTAGGGAAGAAAACCCCCAGCACTCTGGAAAAATCATGCCTTGGGAGAAAGTGAAGGGCAGGAAAGTAAGCTATAATCCATCATTTCACCCATGAGTTCTTAGGCTTCTTAGGGTTCTTAGAGCCTCCATAACTCAGTGAAAAGGGATGATTACCAAGGGAATGTCTGTAATATTACCCCAGGAACTCCAGCCAAATTTTTCTTTCCTTATTCTTTGGGGAAAAAAAATGGTGTTGATCTCAGATTGTTTAGCAAATTTATTTTCATTAGAAACTTAAGGGAGTATTTTTAAATAAATGTTTAATATTTCTGTGGACTCTGGAGTGTGCTTCCTTCACAGAGGTGTTAAATTCCCAGCCCCTGTACGGCAATGTGTGGAGGGGTGGACTAGCTTATCTACTCTCTGCCTAAGACATAGTTACAGACAAAATCTCTTTGCTCAGACAGCAGTGTCAAAACTGACTCTATAACTATTCCTATGGCAAGGCAGGACAGCACGAAACAAATGGACATCTAAATAGGAGGGGGTTCCAGGCGCCATAGAGCAAAGAGGAAAGTCTTTCCAGGTACAGCAACCAAGAATTATCTTGTGCTTCTCTTGATGGATTTGCCATGGTAACACAAACGTACAGAAAGCATCTGAAATCCTGTCTTTGTTATCTACAACTGAGATCTCACTGGTCACAAAGAAAATTCATCTATGCCAAGAGGACACTGAGATTACCCACGACCACCTCTTGATGCCTGAGCACAGCTACGTATTTGAAAAGGTGGGTCAGGAACCTGGAAAATTAGATAAATGCAAGAATCAGGGGAAATAATTTGGATGAAGTTTGGCCAATTACTTAATTGAAGCAGATGAAGAAATCTCATTTAGGAATGAAAGAATCTGGAATGTTTCTATTTTATTTTTTATCACTTATCATATATCTTTTTTCCAATTAGAAATACTTCCAAGATATTGCTGATATTCACTCTAGTAGCTAGACTAGAATCCCTTTGTTTGTTTTTAATTGTATATGTGTTTTAGGGTCAGTTGGGACCAGTTGGGACTTGTGGAACAATAGGATATTTATGTTTCCCTCCTCATTGTTCTCTTAACTTTTGAATTCCTCAACTATTCCAGTTCAATTTAATGAGTTAAAAGGCTCTTTTATGCTCAGGTAAAATGTATATGTTGTCCATGTGTTGGCTAAAACATGCTAGTAATCTAAAATCAATGCAGGTATAGTTCAAGCATGAGATTTATGTGTTGAGGTTAAGCCTAATATTGCAACCTTGTGAAAACGTTCCTCTTTTACTCTTGTATTGTTTGTACTGTGCATGGCATGTGTGCAGATTATGCTCTAGAACTGTCCTTCACAGAGGTATGCTCTCCTGGCTTGAGTGTCACTATTGACTGGTGCAACTGACCTAGGCCTTTCAGGTTAGATCTGTGTCCTTCCCAGTTCTGAACACTTGGACTCTGCCCCAGGGCTGGAATGTAAACTGCTTTGGATTGCAATGCAATTGAAAAAGGAGAAAAAAAAAGCAGTAGCTACAGCTGTTCAGTGCCAAGCCAAGTTTCCAACCATATGTACAATCTCTTCTTAATACCCTTGGAGCTTTCCAGGGCAGCCTTTCACGTTATCTGATGAGCTTTTAGAAGAACAGCTCTGATACAAAAATCCTGGTCTTTGAGCAATATGGCAGCTGCATGAAGACCTTGAAAAATTTGGATCTTTCTTTTATGACATCTGTACTCCATGGCCTGAAGAATTTAATAGCAGAAAGCCAATGTTTATGCCTAGGGGGCCTGAAAAAATGTTATGTGAAGCCAAGTATTACAACGTCAAACAGCTTTTCTTTGTTTTATTGTCTTTAGATCTATATTAGACAGCTCATTTAAAAAATCTACAGTTCCAGAAACTAAGTTATTCACTGCTTTGAAATTCAAAATGACCCTATTTTTTTCCATCTTTTTGAAATGCTTGTTGAGATTGGTCAGAATCTCAACTCTTTTGCTTCATATACTTTACCACACAATTTGCCTTTTCACTTTATCTTTTCCCTTAAATATTTTCTGCTTGGCAACTCCTTGCAATCTGACTTCAGGAACCCTTCATGGGGTTGTTGTTGAAAGTGTTCAACTCCCTCTGCTCAGCATGTTCATTCCATTTTACCTGCCCTATAGTCTTGTATTATTGTTGTTTAACATTGCTGTTATACGGTTCTTAGATTTTTCAGTTGTACTGGATCTTTGAAAGCTGGCAGGATGAATTTCTAGGTTTCCAGTCTTTAACGTTTATCTCCCCTTGGATCTCACCATCTGCTCCTATTTGGCAGCACAGGTAAATGATTTTTTTTTTTTTTTCAACTTCCTTTCATTTACCCTGTTTCCTGCAGATATTTAGCTTATCTGTTTCCTCTTTTTCTCTCCAGAAATCATTAAGGAGGAATTGGTGGCAGTTACTGAAGTTGATGAATATGACTGAAATTTCCATGGTGGTTTCTGTGTTGTGGGGGTTGCTTGAGGAAGTAGTGTTTTTTTTTTCCTTTTGTCAGGTTTATGTCTGTTGACACATGTTCATGGAGCATAGTGCAATGAAATCCACAATGTTAAGATTATTTTTTATGTTGGTCATTTGTTGTTGTTTGTTTGTACCTTTCATTCAAGTGTATTCTACCTACCTTATTATTTTTACCTTTATTTCTCAATGCCATATCTTTGAGCTCATCAGCAAATCAAATAACCATTTTTTAGAATGTAGGCTTTGTTCTGTGAGAGTTCAGTCTCAGTGTAGCCCAGCCCCAAGGTAGCTACAGTTACCAGAGACAACCATTCACTTAAGACAATGGTCATGCAATGTAGTTTTAAACTTTGAAGATGGTACTGTTTTGTATTTTTTTTTTTTTTTTTTTTTTTTTTTCCCCAAATTTTCTGCTCTGTATTCAGTTTCTGATTGACTGGAATATTTCACTATCTTTACCTTCTGGAGAGCAAAATCTTAAGTGAGTCTCAATGTGACTCAAACAGTGATCTGTTACACATTCTGCATATGGCTGAAGTGAAAGAGAACAATTAAACATGGAATGGGAAAAGAAGAAAGTTTGTTGTTGTTGTTTTGTTTGCTTGTTTGTTTGTTGTTTTTTGTTTTCCCTTGTATTTATTTTCCATATCAGGAAAATCAATTTTGAAAAGTTGTTTTCAATTTTGAATGTGCTGTACTGCTATCCTAGATACCAGTGCATGTAGACGTTTAGAGATAAAAATGCCATTCTTTCAAAGTCAGAGATACCATCCCTCTTGTGCACAGCATTCAGTGAAGGCCTTTACTAATGTTATCTTAAAGTATTATTATTTTCATTATTTTTGAAAATTAGCATTGAAGTCAAATAGGATCAGCTGTGGTTTATGCTTTAATGAGGTAATGAGGTGCAGATGAGGATCTGCTTCATAAAAGGATTAATCTGAATGAAAACCCACCTGTTCTTCCCTTTTGTCATTAGTCAACTGTCCTCAGACTCTCTTCTCAGTCAAACCTATGAAATAATTTGCCAGTTGTTGCAGTCTGTCAGCTATGCCTGCTAACTAGAAGTCATTTTCATATAACAGCTGTCCCTCTGTAGCTTTTGTGTAATTACTTGGTTGTCAGTCCCCTTCCAAAACCAAAACCCAGAGCCATTTGGCACTCCTCTTGTAAAATGCCCCAGACCTGAGCTGAATCAAGGCTTACTGTTATTCTGGGAGCTTGGGCCTTTCCAGCAGCAGGTTCTAGGATTTTCGGTCATTTCATTTAGGTCATTAGGTCAGAGTCATGCTGAACTGGCAATGTGGATCTTGCATGATGGCTGGTAATGTTTTATCTGCTGTGTGGCTAAACAGAGGATTTGATTTTCAGCTCTGTCAGCCAAGCATTTTTTCCCAACTACTGAATTAATTTTTAAACTATGCTGTTAAGGATTTTACAATGATCCCTTCTATTCCAGCAGTTTTTGGCAGCTACTATAACTTCATGCAAGACCATGAGATCCTTTCAACAGCTTAGCAAGAGGTACTCATACACTCTGACTAAAGCCAAAGCAGTTGTACTGGATTTTACAGCAGAGTATTGGCACAGCCATTTTTTAAATAATAAATAGCTCCTTAGACTTTGCAAACCATGACAGTATTTGTTCTCCGGGTACTAATGATTTCCTGATAATTGCCGTCTTCAAAAATTTTGCAAGCAGCTACAGGCTATCCTAATATGAAATGACTTGTATATTTTTTAGACTGCATAATGTTTTTCATTTTTTCCACTTCCATTTTTCCATTTGGGTGTTGGACAACTTCAATGTCCCAAAAATATTCATTGAAGCACTTCAGAAGCACTTCTTATTTGAAAAGAAAAAAAATATTTCCTGATTACACCATTCCTTATTTGACACAAAAAACCTTGTCTGCTTGTATTTCCTCCAGCTTAGACTAATGGTTCTTCTAGTTGATTAACCTAGCAAAACGTTTAACTACACTTCAAGCTCTGTGTGAAATTCTGCTGTCAGAGTGAAAAATAAATAAATAAATAGATAGATAGATAAATAAGGGAGAAAAAAAAAAAAAAAAAAACGAAAAAAAAAAAAAACAGAAACAAACTAACTCAGTCCTTATTCAGGGCTTGTTATTCATGACACAAAAGATAGATTTCAGGGCTCTGCTAATATTCTGTTATGTTGTCTTCTCTCATCAGGTCTGGATCATATTTCAGAATTGGATCTTGTTGAATGAGACCATGTTTCACATATTAAAGTAGTGGGTGACTGAAATAAAAATAAATACCTGAATCACACTGTGTTCTCTCATGTTCATATTATCTATGGGGTGCCTATTGCTCCGCTGCATGAGTTACACATTGATACATCAAGGCATTAGCAGAGGAGAGGAAGAGCAGCATACACTAAGGTTTCTATTTCACTGCTCAAAACCATACTGTTGTGCAGATTTATTTGAGTCCACTTTAAATCTCTGTTCTCAAATGACTTTAAGTAAACCAAAATCAGAACCACCACACTATCCCTAAATTCGCTGTATCACTTGAAAACAATACCCCTAGTTAAATCAAGTTAAACCCTTGGTGAAAGGGCATAGCCAGACATGCTGTTTCTGCTGCAGCTGGCTGGGATAGATGAGTGACTTCATTTACACATTCTCAGCTGGTTCAAATTTTCTGGCTTAGCTACATTTGTAACTGCTCAGAATAACCTATGCTTACTTGCATACATTTTATGTTTTCTATTTTATTGTGACACTTTATTTTACAGAAACTAGTGAAGGTGTCACTTCTCATAGAGTTGTGCTAGCATCTCTCAGGGAACAGGAATGAAACAGAGGAAGAGGTAAGCAGATGAGGACAGTGACCCCTTAATCAAGTTAAGCTGTAGCCACAGCACATCTGACTGTGATCTGAACAATCTTAATTAAAAAAAAAGAAAATACTAATGTTGACATGTGGACGGCCAGGAGCCAAAAATGAAATTCTGCACATGCTGAGGAGGAATTTTCCAGGTTGATGAGTCCCATCCTATGTTTTTTCCAGGAAAAATTTGTACTGTTCATGGTCCACATTAAAGCTTATTTGGTCTGTTGACCTGCTACCCTTGAAAGCCAAACATCCTGTAGACTTCATGTGAGTTGGGATTTTATTTCAAGCAATATTCCTATGAAAAATGCTCAAAAAGTTGGGGTTATTTAGCCTAGAGAAGAGAAGGTTCCAGGGAGACTTATAGCAGCCTTTCAGTAGTTAATGGGAGCCTATAGGAAAGATGGAGAAGGACACTTCATCAAGGAGTGTGATAGGACAAGGGGTGACGGTTCAAAACTAAAAGAGAGTAAATTTAGTTTAGATATAAGGAAGAAATTCTTCACTACGAGTGTGCTGCGGACCTCAAAGAGGTTGCCCAGAGAAGATGCAGATGCCCCATCTCTGGAGGTGTTCAAGACCAGGTTGGATAGGGCTCTAAGCAACCTGGTCTAGTGGGAGATGTCCCTGCCCATTGCAGAGGTGTTGTAACCAGATGGTCTTTAAGACCTCTTGCAACCCAAAGTATTCTATGGTTCTGTGATTCAACTAAGCAAAAAAAATATTCACATAAAGTTTCTGACTAATCCTTCAAACTGGCGCCTTCCCCACTACACACCCTGTTGATATCCCTGTTACTACCCTGTTGTTTAAAGGCACATCTGTACAGAGTGCCGGCTTTCTTTGTGTATGGAAGGTAGAGAATGACCTTATAGGTTAGCATAAGAGGGTTTTCTGTTTTCTACATCTTAAACATCTGTCCCACAGCCACGAAAGTTTTGTGTCTGAAGTCTCCATTTCCCTAGTGGTAGGTGGTAGCAGGGGAAGATTTCTTGTTCCTTTTCTTATGCAGACTTTGCATTCACTCTAGCTGTCTTCTGGCAATCAACTTTTTCCTCAAGTTAAAAGGCAAGGCTGAGAGTGATAAAGGGTGAAGCACTAATGCAACTTAGATTATTGGAAGATTTTGCCATTGGCCTTGTGTTAGTGAAGGTAGGTTTTTGTTCTTCTTCTACAGTCTTCTGATCTCTCTTTTTCATCTCATATAACCCAATTGTGTTCAATTCCCTGCACATCCTGAAGAAAACTTGTCAAGTGAATTCTGCCCTTTGCTTTCCTAAAATCACATCTTTGTGTTCCTGCTTTTCTTTCAGCAGAGAGTTCTGTTTGTTTCCTGATTTTGTTCTTTCTGTATCTTTTTGAAAACTAGGGGAAAGGCAGACTAATAAATTAGACCATTTGCCTGTCTGGCAAGGGAAATGGCATGATTTAAATGTGGCTGAGCTAAAGAAATACTAAAATCTCCAGGAAAATTCTAACATTTGTTCAGATATTTTTATTTATTTTTGGAGTTGTGGAATATCCATGTTTTTCAGTGTTTTGACCTTTACTTTGAAGAATGTCGTAGTTGTGCCAGCAAACTCAGCTGTCAATATTTTCATTTCACACCTCTTTATAGAAGTTCATAACTGACCTATAAAATTACACATACTGAGCATATGTGGTCTCAGGCAGGAAAAGATTTAATAAATAAATACATAAATACAAACGTGTCTGTTTAAAAGTTATAAAGCTACAAAAGAAGGAAGGAAGGAAGGAAGGAAGGAAGGAAGGAAGGAAGGAAGGAAGGAAGGAAGGAAGGAAGGAAGGAAGGAAGGAAGGAAGGAAGGAAGGAAGGAAGGAAGGAAGGAAGGAAGGAAGGAAGGAAGGAAGGAAGGAAGGAAGGAAGGAAGGAAGGAAGGAAGGAAGGAAGGAAGGAAGGAAGGAAGGAAGGAAGGAAGGAAGGAAGGAAGGAAGGAAGGAAGGAAGGAAGGAAGGAAAGGAAGGAAGGAAGGAAGGAAGGAAGGAGGAAGGAAGGAAGGAAGGAAGGAAGGAAGGAAGGAGGAAGGGAGAGAGGGAGAGAGGGAGAGAGGAAAGAAGGGAGGGAGGGAGGGAGGGAGGGAGGGAGGAAGAAAGGAAGAAAGAAAGAAAATGAATTAAACTGGTGATTTCAAATGCATTTTACAGTCCTGTAATTTAAAGGCAAACCCATCAGGTTTTTCTTCTTTTAAACTCAATATGATTAACCTCTTAGTCTTTAATGTGGACTGATGGAGTGCCTGTGGCCATTATGGCAAATAACCACATTATTGCATTTAGGAAATTAGCTACTGTGTGCTTGTGGTAATTTTGTCTCCATGAAAATAGCTCACAAATTTTAAGCAGGCAGACTTATTACAGAAGTCAGTTCTGCTTTTAGATACACACCATCTTTGTGTATTTATGTAGATTCATCAGAGTGTATTTGAAAGGATCTTTGTTAGCCAGTGTTAATATTAGGAGTTTTCGTACCAAAGGACTGGGGAAAAGAAGGAGTTAAGAGTTAAACCTCTTTCAGAATGCAGTAGCTTTCAAATTGAAAACAGGTAACTTTTAAAAAATTTAAAAAATAAATACTGAAAAAAGTATTTATGCCACAGTAATTTCCAAACTTGTAGGTTAAAAATAATGGTCTGTAAAAGTGGTGATAAAATTCACAGGAACTTTAGTCTTCAACTCCCCATATAGCCTCCTTTCATGAAGT